ATATGCTAAGATGGTGACGCTTTCCTTCTGTCACTGACAAACAAAGCACAATGAAACTTACTTGGTGGACAAATACATCCTCTTTAGTGTCATCTCTGAAAAATAAGAACAAGTTGTCTCAGATGGAGTAAAAACTATGTACAGGATGTACTTGTGCATGGTCTCGACCAGTCATTATTTGGTCCACCATTCACTCACCACACAGTACAATGGATGGTAACCTGACAACTTCACGAAAGTGACAAAGACAAGCTGTAGTGCGAGAAGGATGTTCAGTCCCATCCTTTCCTCTCACCTGGACTAGAAACAATTATGTTCACCTACTCTGTCATTGATTGGCAGCTGTGGTGATGGTATAGCTTGTTCACTTTCGTCTGTCCGCTTAAGAATTTATGGCTCAATTACAAATGCCCACAAAAGTTTGCACGGTGCTTCTGCAGGCCACCAACCAAACAAAAATATTTTTTTTCTAAAAAATTTTGATCTAGTATTGAAAGTTTATTTTGGGCCCTATATTCAAAACTGCCCTTCGAGAGCATACTCACAGGATAATTAACAAAAATGTCTACAGTAACCTAGCCAACAAATTACTCATTTTGAGACAGTGACATGACCATGCCCCAACATTTCAGTGTCGGCTTGTTTTGAAGATTTCCTCCCTATATACAGTGGAATCCTGTTATAACGAGAGGGAAGGGACCGAAGCAAAATGTGCGTTATAGCAGGATTCTCGCTATAAGGGATCCAGTAATAAATTCTAGGGAAACTGTAAAGTAGGCCTAATCTATGAGTTTGGTGTTGTTTTTCCTTTTGCTATCTCCCCTGATGATGATTTTGTTTCAACATGACCTCTAGGTTACTTGATCAAAAATCAAATCAGGTTTGTTTCTCTTGCGCTAGATCTAGCGAAGTGGACTGACAGCTCGGCGTTGGCGATCAGAAAGAAAGGGCTCTGGGCTAACTCGCCCGCTTTGTTTTCCCCCCACCCCACCCCGTGGTGCATTCTGTCTGCTTGCGCACGTCACACATTCGCTCCATCCATCACATTGATGTGACCTCTCCATCCCTGCATCTAAGAAGTGACAGGCATGGCATTGGCAGGCCTTGATAATCTAAACTGGCCTATCACGCGATGCGTTCTGCTTGTCTACGAATGCCACACCCTCCCTACTCAGTTGCTCCGGCTTTCTTTGTTGACGCACATATATGCTATCCTATTCTTTGTTTCGCAAGATCAGCAACAAGTTTCTCAACTGGCGAGGTCTTGCATTCTGTCCTATGCAATGTGCACAGTAGCAGCAATATTCCGCTATAACCGACTCACAAGTTTGTCTGATAGCGCTATAGCAGTATTTTGTTTACAAAGGTAAAGAGGAGAAAAAAAACGGGGTTTTAGAATAGTGCCTTTATAACAGACCTCGTTTTTTCCGGACTCGTTATAAGTTGACTCCACTGTATTGTCTCCATGTTAATGTTTTATGTGTACACTGTAAATCCCACACTATTTTTGGGACACACTTTAGGTCAGAAACTAGTTTGTAGTGAACTTGACCTTCATGTCATGAAGAGTTAGAGTCTTCAGTCTATTCTGTTGGTCCTCCAACTTTTAGACCCTTATGCAGAGCAATTTCATTTTATCTGGTTTTAGCTGCTGTAAGATCAAAGTGAACAAGCTCAAAAGGATGCATGGGGTTGTATTGCCAAACTGCTTGAAATCTGTGTACTTGAGCATATATGTGAGGCAGTGTGGTGAAACCAGACGCTCGTCAACATACTTAGGGAACCTAAACGAATGGGTAACAGGGAAAGATCAGGGAAACGTAGCTTTTTTGAGAGCATCCGAGCACAGGAATTAATGGAAAACCATGATCGCCGATGTCTGTCGCAGATCTGGCACTGGATGATGAGATTTAGGTAAGGCTTGCAGTACTGCAGTACTAAGGAAGAAAAGGGGTGAGCTTCCCATAACTGCCTGCATCCAGAACATGATACACATAACTGGAAGACAGCTTTGTATTTTATCAAGCTAAGATAAGACATAAAAACATCTCGACTAAGCAGTGTAAGGCTGCATCATACACCATATTGATTTTGAAAAGCCACATGCCGATGGCAGTCTTACACTGAGCAACTGAACTGTCTTTGTCTCAGTGCCTAGCTACACTACTCAGTGGATACTTTACTTTTCCAATCCAGCGGCCATCTGGATTCTAGCCATTCGGCCAGTAGATATATTGTAAACAATGTACAGGTCTTTATCAGCTTTGTTTTGTCGCTGTATAAGTATAAAGTATTTCTGATATCTGGGGAGACAGGTAGGTAGGTGCTACGCAGGTCGCTAAGTGCAGTGCAGGTAAAGAGATGGTGTGATACTCATACTGTTTCATCCTGGCAGTCACACAACGGTGGGGTATCCTTGCAGATCCTATTTAAGAAGGAAATCAGTGGGATGTGCTGTGTTCGCAGGCGAAAGATAGTGGCCTGTTCTCTTCTACTGAAGGAATTTAGTGCATCTTTTGAGTTGGGAACAATCGTGTGCAAATACAGCTCTTCCAGTTTTGCCAAATGCCATCCATTCAGCCACTGTTCCCTGGTGTTGCATTTGATGTTCTTGACTTTCAATTTTTTAGTAAGAGTTTTACGGCACTTGCAACACAATAAGGTCATTTATAAGGGTCAAAGATTAGAGGTGTTGCAAGAGAGTAACAAACATAAAAGAAAGAGAAGAGATAAATCATAAAGACGATAATTGTTTAATAGGAAAGAAGGAGCAAACCACACCAGAGCACCCGCCATTCACCGACTGACTGTCTGTTAATACTGTTATGATACTGGGTTTTGAGGTTGTACAAGTGTTTGTGATGCTCCCTTCTTGGCAAAGGTGTCAGCTGTCGTCCCCTGGGATGTTGCTGTGGCCAGGTATCCACTACAAAGTCAGGTCGACGGCATCTAAGGTCTGCATAAAGGTGTTAATTGTTTGAGATACAGAGAGGAAAGCTTGGTTTTTCAAAATTCATGTTTTCCAAAGCTCGGAGTACTGATTTTACGTCTGTGTAGATTACAGTATCCTTGATTTTGTGGTGATGAAAATGTCGGTCAGGTGGAGGATTGCTGCTTCAATGGCAATGACATCAGCCTCATAATTTGTACAAGAAGTATCACAGGCATCAAATAGTTCACACGTCTTGAAGGACGTTCTATTCTTACTCCAAAGCCAGATTAATAGTTCCCTTGAAGGCTGACTCATCAATGTAAATATGGATTAAAACACGTATATTTGAGAGCTGTGGTTTTCAGTTCTCCTGGGCCACATTCTTTTTGCACTGTCTCCTTTTTTTAGGGGGGGGGGGTCTGGTCTTAAGGGTTTCGGCATTTTTCTGTTACATGGAAGGCGATGTCTTTCTACTAATTCGGTGGCTGTGTCGAGTATTGATCTTCCATGGATTCGTTTGGTCATCTGTTACGATTGATCTTTCTGTTTGGGTGGTTTTAGTCTAGTCTCTTATAAGTAGCGCTCACTTATCTCCACAACTGCTGCCTCTCTCCGCATGTCCAAAGGTTCCAGGTTTGTATGGATTTTGCAAGCTGCATTTGGAGTGGATCTCAAAGCTCCTGACATATATCGTACAGCTTGATTCTGAATTTGGTCAAGAGACCTCAGTTGGTTTGCTGCAGATTGTAGGATTAAGACCCAACACACAGCCAGCTGTCTGAGTGCATCACTGTCCGCTCCCCATGAAGTGCTAGCTAGACAGTGGGAACAAAAATACCAAGTTTGGCTGTGGCTGGATTTAGAGTTAGATCTACATCTGAAGAGGGAGTTGGCCTCAGATTAATAAACTTTTTTGGGGGGTTTACTATAGGCATAGATTTACTCATGACTTCATTAGTTGATTGTGATGGTGCACCACCAGAAAACTGCTCATTTTGCGACTATGAGTAGGATCTATAATTATAGCCTATAGGTATTTTTATAGAAGCCGAAGCCCTCCTGTAGAGGGTTATACGGCGCTCGCAACTGCATACGGTCAT